CTATTTGTTGTCATCTCGTTCTCCTTCAGTCAACATTTTTCTGGTTTCTTTTGAGCTCTTCACTATACCACTTATTGTAATTTATATATTTTTTTTTTCTTGTCTTTCTTCCTGCCCCGTCTCTCAAACGTACACAAAAACCAAACCATATCCTTTGATACAGACAGATTTTATTTTCGACAAATTCGTTTAACGCTCTCATTTTTCCTCTCTCGCTCTCTGTCGCTTCCTTTTTCCACTGCTTCTTTTGTCGTATTGCCTTCCTTTTGTTTTATATCTGTGGCATGCAACGATGTCAAGCGATCGTCCCACGATTTATGCAATTTGTATAAATAATTTTATGAATGCAGTGCATTGCGATTTACATGGACCAAATCCATCAAATAGATTCATGCATTACACACATTTTTATTTGAGGTCCTAAACACGAACATTAGCTGGTTTCTTTGATCTCGAGTATTTTATTTGCCAATTCGAGCTAAACTATCAGGCACGATCTTTAAATCATCACACCAATAAATTCTATTTTTTTCCGTTTGCATTTCGCAAAATTAATTGGTCCCAGACACATGACGATTAAAGGATGACATGAAGCGATCCAAACAAGGACTATTGCCAAGAAAACAAAACGACCGTTAAAAACACGAGCAGACCGAGCTACTCTAATTTTTCGATAACTTTGTGCGGTTTAGCCCACTCTCACCCGCATTTCAGGATCATCGAATCACGATCAGAGAATTCGTTTTAAAGAACATTTTAACTGACACGAACTGAATTGATGTTGTTCGCAGTAAACTCAGTTTAGATGTTCTTTAAAATAGAGTGAAATTATGATAACTTGTAATTTTTTTTAGATGATAATTTCATCGAACTCAAAATGATTTTCATTTTGTGGTTTCAAATATTCTTGTATTGTTGCCGGTTTGAGATTATGTGGAAGGTATAAGCAACTGTCGGTTAGCATTTCTTTTCACTTGAATTGAAAATCATCTTAGCAGAGCTGCTATAAAACCATAATAAAGGTATAATTTGGATTCATTGATTGAAGATGATTGTAGGATCATTTCCATCAAACTTGCAAATTGTGGTGTATAGCCCGCATCGTTGGTTATTGACACAATAAATATTTTATACATACACTTATTGGGTCAATTCCCAACTGTTTCAAACGAAAAAAAAACGGAAGGAGTCGATCAAAATATATGTATAAATACACATATCCATCCAAAATGTGTGTTATCTAGAAGAGTATAAGTATAGCTTGGAGTTATTTCACAACAATCCATGCTTGTCTTCCGAACAGTCGACTTTGTTGATTGCATATTTTATTCCCTTTTTTTACATTTTATTTCATTGCAATATGTTACTGTCATTTGGCTTTTCCACGCACACACACACGCATAACATATGCCAAGATTTCGTATGAAACGAAGAAAAGCGCCACGCAGCCCTCTAGATGAGCCAAAACTCAAAACAGACATCATATTTATATTGTGTAAACGACAATGTTCATGTTCGATATGTGTACGATGACAGCTTCAAGTATCCGACGTGTAGAGTGCGCCTTTGGCTTAAACGTCAAATCTTTCCAATGTATTTATATAGATCGTAACGTGAGGCTGCATATGCTTATCCTTTTGTATTGAATGGATCTTTGGGTATTTTATTCGATTCGCGTTCAATCATCAATAAATGGGAATGCCGGGAAACATGGTCAAGCTGCGATTCCGTCTCATGTTCAAATGCATTCCGATTAAACGTACATAACATTCAATTTCGATTCAAATTCGTGTCCATACAGACGCGCATCCGTGCTCGCTCGCACGCACGCACACACACACACACACATATCGACAATTAACTTCTTCGCGAAAACAGTTGAAAGTGCATTCCATTGACATTGATTTGTAACAATAAACTCATTTATACTCGAACATAAAATCCAGGGTATCATTCAACATCAAACGACTTGAATGCTATAGAAACGACAACAACGATAAGGTCATAAAACACTTCGGCTTTCAAGTGGCATACCAATTCACATTGCATATGCATTTCAATCGGATTCACGTTCCATGTGGAAAAACATCGATTGATCAATTGACCCTTCATTGTCTCAAATAGACACATTGTGACATTACGCACCTCTCTCGCACATCACCATCACCATCACCACCACCGCCACCGCCGCAGTCAAACTGTATCACATCAAATAAAAGCTTTTATGAATCATCAATTTGAATATCATTGAAAATTAACATTAAATGGCTGGGACGAATGCGGGGGCCGTTACGAATTCAGTGATGATTTCACACATCAAACTCAAAATCCAATATCCTTGCGATGTGTGACCAAATTTTGGAATAAAATTACTTTTCTACTGCAAATGTTTTCATATTATGCCGTTCGGCGCGAAAAACGAGGTCGAAAAAAAATGGTATCATTTGATTGGTGCAAGACATTAAAAAGATTGGCTTATGCAAGTCCCACCAAACCTACCGAGAGAGAGAGAGAGAGAGAGAGAGAGAGAGAGAGAGAGAGGGAGAGAAACGGATTCACATAATAGTAAAACAATATAACTGTAGACACACATTCCAATGGCAGTGGCAGTTTCACAGCTCATCCCCATTCAGCGCCAAAATAGAAACTCCGTTCATTTGGTACATAAAATGCGCTTTTCTCCTTATGTAATTGCTGAGCAAAAACAAGCTTTTACCTGCTGCATTATCGCCACTAAATTTGCTCAATAAAGAAAGTAATTTTCTTTTGCATGCACAATCCTTTTTTTTCGGTTGGAAAATAGAGGAAAAAATCACGGTGGCAAAAAGGAAGAACAAGAATAATAATAAGAAGAAGACGAAAGAAGAAAAAGAAGAAGAAAATAATAGCGCGCGCAACATCACTGTTTGCATTGATGCACCACTGCCTCTCTCTCCTTCTCTCTGCCTCCTGCCCTCTCCTTCTCTCTCTCTCTCTCTCTCTCTCTCTCTCTCTCTCTATGTATTAACGTGGTGCATTTTGGTTTTATGTAAACATACATAAAAGTGTAAGCGCAGTTCTCTTTATCGTGGATAGGATAACATAACATAACATATAAGGTTGGTACTTTGGGTTGGCGTTTCGTTGGCACATAATAGAGACATTCCAAGGCAAAATAAATCCACTTTAAAGCATCGATTGCGAATCATAGCCTCAAAATGTGTGCGCTCAAGTATTGGCGAACGCGGAAGTGTTTCAAGATGCCAAACATGCTTGTTCGTTGCAACGCGACTTGAGATCTTAGTTGCATTGGTGCATAGCGCGGCATCCGCTCGTGTTCACTGCAACTCTCTTACGATTTTCACAAAATGGGATTGTATTAATGCAACACTGAGATAAATGAGCGCAATGTATTCCAAAAATATACACATGCATTCGCCGATCCAATCCTCCTTTTTGCCATGCACTTGCTCTCTTCTCTCTCTCTCGCTCTTTCTTCCACTCTCACTCGCTCTCTGTCACTCACATTCTCAACGACTCACACACACACACACACACACACACACACACATGAACGAACCTGCACGCTGCACATTCGGTGTGCAGTAGACATCTTATAATTGTATGAGCTGGCGCTATATAAACCGATAAACGCTGTTCCACTTAAAAATTGTAAACGTTCTTGCCCAGCCGCTCAACACAAGAACGCTCGCGTCAATGTGCTGCTTGCGAATCTTCCTTTCAATTGGGACGTCTTCATAGCGTTGTTCAGTTTTGCTTTCATAGTCGCTGCAAAGTGTATAATGTAAATGGCATCTCTCGGGATCATATTTTTATTTTCGTCGCACAACAATTCGGTTGTCGTGCTGTAATAATGAGATGCGGTAAAATATTTACCAAGCATATGATCTAATGGAAAACGATCATTCAGTGTGTCTGTCTGTCTCTTTCATTCAACTCATCATCAATGAACTATACATAAATAAATTACTGCGGATCGATCAAAATAACACACTTGCCTCGGTCTTTCCATTCGATTCGCTCGTCACGATTCCTATGTAAAGTAATTGCAAGATAAAACAGCATACCTGCTGTTGCTGCTGCTTCATGCAAAGCATATAGTTGAACGCAAAACCGAGCGAGAGAATGTGAGAGAGTTTCCGTCGAGCCGCATAGTACATGGAAATGTGGTACGATATGTGCTAGTGCATACAAAACGTGTGTGAAACAAAACAGTATACGGCACTACAGCACAGCGTGAACGCTATCGCTAGCAGCAGCAACAGCAACAGCAACAATGCCAGCATACGCAAGCCGTATTCTACGATTTTATGATTCTTCGAAAAATTGTGTGAAAGGTAGGGATAATGTAACAACCAATGGATTTTAACTCCGCCTTTTAGACACAAGGCCGTTTTAACAGTTTTTGATGAATAGCTTTTGTTACTTCATCGCGATATTTTTTTGTTGCTGTTGTTTCGGCTGTTGCTATTTTGGTTGTTTCTCTTAGTTTCTCTCTCTCTCGCTCTCTCTTTTGCTTCTTTCCACATTTTTTACAATAATTGTGCTAAACGAATTTTCTGTTGAAATTTCAATTAGCATTTGGGGATTGGTTGAAGCATTCGTATCTCACAAACAAAATCGGCTTTGATTCGCCTGTCTCGCTCGGGCAATAAATTATTACAAAGGGTGATTTATGTTGCATACGAAATGTTTTACAATTGGATGAACGCAACTATACCGCGTCTCCATCTCTCTCTCTCTCTCTCTCTCTCCTATCGTTTTGTTTATAAGATTGAAAAATGGTTGCGCACTTGATCGGTGATGCGCCTACAAATTGTTTATTGTCTTATTAGAGAGCGTTGTCGTTTTTGGACAATAAAACAAGTGCTAGCGTCCATTTTCAATTGATCGGTGTTTCGGCTAATTGAGCTATTGATATCAATGTAGTTTTATTTTATATATTTTTGGAACATTTTTTGCATTTTTGAACTAATTGATGGCTTTGTTTTTATTCACAGTCGACAATGCGGACATGCTTTTAGAAAAAAGTCAAAAGATGATCGAGAGATTTAACTATCCATGGGAAATGATGCCATTATTGTATGTTATCCTAAAATATGCGAACGGTGATCTCGAAGAGGCAACAAATCAGCTAAGCGAAGGTAATCAAATGCAAGTGAAGTGCAAATGGTAATATCCGACAGCATACTACATGTCATCAACTGAATGTAGCACATTGTTCAACGGTATTATCATTCCTTCTTTTCGTTTCGATCGCATTTCGATCGAACAAAATTTCAGAGGGTTTTCTTTTTTTCTTTTCATTTCATCTTGTGATAACCAATGATAATTTCGTTTTGATTTGTTTAGGGCAAGATTTTATTGGCAAATATTCAAGAATGCATAATTTAAATTTTTTCGACGGAGCAGAACGAGGCTCAACCCGCCAATGCGGATGATAATTTTCGTAGAGAAATTCATTTTAAACAAATTAAAGTCAAAACACACCGCAATGAATTCAATTGTGGCACGTACAAGTCGTTTCGTCGTCAAACAAACGATCGATCGATCGAACGAACCGAGAAAAAAAAACAACAAAACAAAACTCTTGCCAAAATTTGTGTTCATTTGAACTTCGTTTATTTTTTCATTGAGTACATACACGTTACAGTATTATTTCGATACATTTACAAATCGATTAAAAATTTTAAGTGGAAATTCGAATTTCTGATAAAGAAAAAAAGTTGAATGGAAACAAAAGTAAAATCTAAAATGAATATTTCCCACGAGACTTGTGCTTAAGCCACCAGATGATTATCAGTTTGATCCCATTTGCAGCAGTTTTTACTAGGCGAAATTTTAGTTCCTAATTTTCGATTCCATTTAATTTCGCGTTGGTATTATTTCTATTTAAAAACATTTTAGATATTGGTCAGTATTCTAAAATTTGGCAGTATTTCATATTGAATTTTTGGGCTTATGATTATTTTTCATTTGTTGATGTCGTTGTTTGCGTTGGATTTGCTGCAAATGGAGACGAACATTCATCTCAGGTTGAAACAGTCGTAACTTAAACGTTCTCTCACATACACAAACACACAAGTATTTAATTATAAAATGGCAACATCAATTTCTTTTCGGTATTGCTGCATGTCCTAGAAACTAAGAGATTCTCTTATATATACAATTTTTGTGATTCCAATTAATTATTGTTGAATTGAAAAGAAGAAAGAAAAAAAAAACAATGCAAAATCAACTATTTAACGATTTTAAGATAAAGAACAATTTCGTAATGTATTAGTAAAGTATTTTGAACAATCGCCAAATGTATTCTGAATTTGGTTGAATGCATTCGAACCAGAAATTTATTTACACCTACAACACATCAATCAATTAAACTACACCGATGAAATATAAACCAAAAAAAAAAAGCTAAGCACAAACACCACACAGTCCAATGGACGTCATCAGAAGCAATTGCGCAATGTGAAATCACAGGAATTTTGTCAAATAAAATTGACAACGAACATTTAACCACGATCAACACTGCAACATAACATCGGCAACGCGTACTATGTACTTCAATCAACTGAACTCATCTTCTTTTATGGACCATTTCGATTCTCTCGGCACACAATGGGAAGAAGAAAGCCATTTTTGGACGCATAAATCGGTAAATGTGTTTGCCCATAAAGATATAATAAAATTATGGCCAACGATTAGGGATAACAGATAAGAACATGCTGCCTCATATTACCATTCTTTTTATGCTCATTTTTTCGGAAAGATAAACTGTGGCTGCGGAACCAGTTCACGGTGTTGTGATAGTTTTAAATCATGATTTTGGATTAAGTGTTGTCCGTTGGACAAAAGCTTTCTTTTTTCTCCCTCTCACATAACAATAGCAAATTTATGTCGTCGTCGTCATCGTCGTCAATTTTTGCATTTAGAATAGTTTTGCATCGATAAATCTAGGATAGTAGATAGGCGAACAAAAGGCGGCACAAAATTACCACATTTCTTTTGAAACCTGTACAATGGTAGGGAAAATAAACTACAACAACTATACATAATCATTTTAAATACATTTTCTGCAACAAACTGCGCTGTAAATGGAAAATATTCAGCAATGAATGCTCTAACGTCATCTATACGGTATAATTTGAAAGTATAAGTAAATGCTTTCGTCATAAGGTTTACCCAAATGTTGGAAATGGCATTTGTCAGAAATGACATGCTAAACGTCATTCATAATTCAAGACAGTGATCTTCCGATAGGGACAAAAGCAATGCAAACTAAACTCTGAACGGTTTTGGATTTGCTGAATATATTACCATTGCGCTTCACTTTGTTGATTTTCTGCATTATTCATACTTCTTTCATTTAATTTCGAAAAAGATAATTTTTCATACGATTTCCTACAATAACGGTGGTGCTAATGATCGGCTAAATTGTGTGTATAAACTGACATTTACCATTTATTTAATTAGTGTAGCAGTCAAGGGGGAAATCATTATTTTCAATTATTTTCCACTTGAAAGTGATAGTTAGATAAAAAAATAAGAGTAAATGAAAGAAGGACGCAAATGAGTGAATTCTCCCTTACGATATAAATGCGTAGTTCAATTCCTTCAGAGTAGTTCTCTAATTTTTGACCAAAAATTACATCCAAAATGTAGTTTTCTGTCAAGTTTTCAAATTTTCAATGAAAAAGAGTGATTTTCCAGTCGGTTGCAGTGGATAAACTGGGGATAACAAACCATTTTTCCAAATTTTGTTTTTGATGAAAAATTCAAAATTCCCATTATCCCACAATAGACACATTATTGATGAAATATTTTAATGACAACATTTTCCAAACCATTGATGGACTAGACACTAAAAACTATTTCATTGATATAAGCGATGGAACCAAATTCGTTAATTAAAAGTTCAAACGACACATTAGTGTAAGTGAATTAATTAAAAGCAAAAAAAAACTAAACAATATTTATTCATGTCAAACACATAGTTTAGTGTGTTTAACATATATAGCAAAAATTTCATTTAGAAAAAAAAGTGCCATGTTTCAAACGATGTTAGTTTTCTTTGTACGGGCCAGATAAAATGTGACCAGTGAAACTTCTTAGTGTCCGAAAAAAAACAATCTTTTTTCTTTTGCTTTTCACAAATTCATTTCGCTCAAAAGTTTATGTGAAATAACATATCGGGCGATACACACATAAGACACATTTTATGTATTTTGACGTAGCGCTTGCACATTTACAATTATATTTCTTTTTTTTCGCCTGTTCTCTCTCTCTCTCTCTCTCACTCACTCAAAATTTTATTGTGTAAAAAATACTGTAATACTAAAACACATGCCAGCAACTACGATGACAATAAAAATGAGAGGAGGGAAACGGAGGGAACAACGAACACAAAAACAACTGCGCGCCGCGACGAATTCTCTTTCGCTTGTTTCTTTGATTTTTCTGTAACTGTATTTATATGTGCGCCTTTTGCAAATGAATGCATTTTGCAAGTACTTGGGTGCAAGCTTCTGCACAACACATAAAATTCTGTATTGCGCTTACATAAACACAACCACATACATACGCGCACTCTTTCAAACTCACATACACACACAGCGCACGTACAAACTGTACTTATTTTATTTAATTTTTTTTTTCTGTGCTGCGTTAACTGGTCGTCATCGCTGAAAATGTGCTTTTTTACGACCTTGTTATAAAATTTCTGCTATATGCATCATTTTATAGCGTCTTCGCGTTTCACTTCAGCGCGATATACATAAAAAAAATGCTGCAAATAAATTGCATCGAACGAGCGAAAAGAATATAAAACATATACAACAAACGCACAAATTTCCTTTGAATTTTGTTTTTCTTTCATTTTGGCTGCTGGTGCTGTTGCTGCTGTTGTTGTTATGGTGCGCTGAAGAGAAGCGCTGGAACGAAAGAGAGAGCACAAGAAAAAATAAGAACAAAATCGAAAAACTAAACTAGTGGCAGGAACTTCAAACTGCAAGAGGAAGAAGAAGAAGAAGAAGAAGAAGAAGAAGAAGAAGAAGAAGAAGAAAAAACATACAACAACGACACCAACCAAAGAAAAAAAACTATTCATATGAAATGGAATGATTCGAACGCTTGAAATGTGTATCGGGCGCGCTTAAAACTTTTATGAATCATAAAAGGAACCTTGTGAATATGATTGCCTTTCCACCGTCAACGTCGTCAACACACATCCACAAACACACTTTTCCCACTGTGAAATGTCCAATGTTTGGCAAATATTCAATAATATTTGTGTATTTTTAATACGCTCATGAGGTTCCAATTGTATTTTAAGTTACTAAAATGTGCCGTTCCACTTGAATCAGAACCCCTTGCAAAACGCTTCAAAGTATTTTAGATGCAATTGCGATTTGTAAAATTGAGTGCACAATTTTTCACTTAAATATCAGAGAAATTCACGTGAAAATCTTTCTCAATGATGCAATCATAAAGATTTTTCTTTCTCTTTCACTCTTTCGCACACACTGGCGTTCACACATCAAATCAGCTCGTCAATTTTTTTCGTATTTTAGCTTCAAGAATTAGAAAGTACAAGTGTGGAATATGGCATTTTTTGTGATCGTAATTTTAATTTTAAATATAAGATTTATTGGTATGAATTCATTTGAAATGATATGGAGTAAAATGTAATGGAAGGAGCGCCAGCGTTTAATGCCAGGAATGCAGTATCAAGCATTTCAAGCATGCGATAATCAATTGGCCAATCATCACCATCGTTTGTCAACGCTTTGAGTGGACTACAGCCAAGGACAAACGATGACGACGACGAAGCATTTGTGTTTCCAGGACGTCACTCAGAGCCATATCAAAACCAGTGGCAGCCTATCAAAAATTTGCAACAGTCTAGTCATTTGCAACCAATTTACGAGTCGAATGAATACAAAAATGTGAAAGAACAAGATAACATTTTTTGCGAACTTTTTTTTTCTCTCTCAAATCATACTAAAATAAGTAAAGGTATACATATGCACCGTAGCTAAGTCTAGTGATTAGAATAAGCCCGTTCAAATGGCATGTCGATAATTATAGTGGACAAATGGATAATGGATAATATTGTTCACGTAATTCAGTCGGCAAGAGCAAGATCTCGTTAATTGCACCCACAATTATGATGTGTCAACATTTTATTTAAATAGATTCCGTTCGCATCAATGCATAAATAATGTGTTGCGGCTCCCATTAAAAATAAATGCTGATCAGATGATCTGCCATTAATGGTGATACACAATATACCAATGACTAAGGGGAACTATCATTTTTTTTATCGAAAAAATTCATTAATTTCAGTGTGTTTTAGGAGATATTCACTCCTATTCACAGATATTCGATGTTTCTTATTTTGACAGTTCAGCCGTTCTCACCAGCCGCCATCTTGGATTTTTTTTAAATCTAAATTTATTCACGTATATTCACAATATTTTCGAAAATTCTATGAGAAAATATCTATAATATTCAAAAATATTCACAAAAATTCACTGTTTTAAAATTCGAATGAAGCCCCTAGACCAATGAAAATGTATATAAATCTATCGATTTTGACATGCCAAATTGTAGAATATCTCCGATATTTCTGATAATACTCGATAATTTTAGAATGAAATATGCACATTCATTATTTATTTGTGTATAAGCGGTTTATAAGCGGTTTATAAGCGGTTTATAAGCGCCCTGGCCCAGGTTGACCAGGTCCACGGAATTACAAAACGCGAAGCCAACTCATCGCATTATTAAAATGATCGACATAATAATCATAGTATATTTGATTGTTTGCCCATCAAACCAACCGAACTTTAAATAATTGAGTGAAATAGCTTGCATTATTCTCAACACATTTTATAAAGTGAATGCTCACATTTTAATTTGATTCTTTCTTTCTTTTTTCTTCCTCCCTTCTTTTTTGCCTGCTTTTTTTCCTTGGTCTGTTGTCATCTCTTTCGTCTTTCTATGTATTTGTAACGACACACGATGACCATCATCCCTCCCCAACGTGCAACACACTTACACACATACACAGCTCGAAACACGGTCCATCGATCGGCATATCATAAATTGCTTCTAGATAGTTACATGCGAATGATTTCGAACGATGCACCAACATACATCGGTTCCAGTCCGTCACCGTTAATCATGTCAAATCAATTTGATTTCATTTCGGATCGTCGTTGCCGTTCAAAGTCGCCACCACCACGTTTGCCATCGTCACTCACATTTGGAAAGCTAGATTATTTGTACAATGGTGCTGCCCACAACTTGCAGTATGCGAAAAAATTGCGAAATCGCTGTGATCAAATGTCAACGTAGCCGAGCTATTTGTGAGAAAGAAACAACCGTTTTCAATGTTAAATAAATGTAAGTAGACAAAGCCACCTATTTTTCTCTACAGTTTCTTTTATCGATAAATTGTTTCAGCTGAAAATTGATATTTTTCCACCGGATAACCACTCCTCCTATCATATTCGCTTGAATGCGATGCGTAAAATGTCTCTTCCACTTTCTCCACCTCTTCATCCTTGTCTCATTCATCCAAACGCCATTATTTAACAGTGGCTTAATTGGAAGCGCTTACTACGTTGTAAAACGGACTTAAGTACGCACAGCAAAGATTACAACGACAGCCGTGTAAAGCTTGTCAATACATTGGCCGAGCGAATCGTCAATGAGTGAATTAACAATACAAGCGTCAGAGCTTGTGAAAACTTTTCATCGAAACCAATTTCACAACTTTTACACTAAACGTTACGACAAAAACTCGTATAAATTTTAATTAAATTCCAAGCACACCAGACAAAAGCCAGCGTATTTGACTGAAATGTCCTGGCTACAGATTGAAACATCACCGATTGTGAATGCACAATTTCCGTCTGGATCAGATTGGATTTATCATTTTTATCAATGTTTTTCCTTTTTTCCTCTTCTTTATCAAGAACAATACACTTGCAACGTATTAGCAACAAGCTCTTTAAATGGAAGAAGGCACAAGCTTTTGCGCTTTTTCATCAAATCCAGGATCGAATTCAGGTTTTTGAATGAAAAATTTGCATCGGCGATTAGTTGTTTGTTGAACAATTTTTGAAATAAACAATTTTTCTATAATCATTAAATATTTCAATGGCAGCAACTTGAATACACTCCGAATTTTCCACATAATTTAATGGAATAGGGCCATTTTTTTTCTTTTTATTCAAACTCGACAATTTTTTTTTACATTGAACAATAGCCTTTATCGCTAAACTATTTTACGTTTAATTGCATAATATTTTATTCTTGTCAACGCCTGCGTAATTGCGAATCAATTTGTAATTCTCTGCCCCTGGACGAGCGTATGGTATGGAGAAGACGAAGAAAAAAGCGATGGGAAAAATGGTTTCGGGAGTAATTTTCCATTGAATCATTTTAATTAAAATGGATAGAAGAATGTTGAAACAGTTAAAGAGCACTAAAACTTTAATTATTTTTTCTTCCCGTTGTGGATCAAACGAAAATTCAGCCAAAACAAAGGTTCATGAAGGAAATTTAGTTGATGTATAAATGAGTATGTTGAAAACTTATTTCTCTCTTTCAGTGTGCATAATTTTATTCCGTTGCCCGACAATTTCTCCTCCCCACAGGAGCGAGAAAAAAAAAGTTCTTCCGGAGAATGGGCAGAAAAAAAGAACATTAAACCGGGAAAACTGGACAATGAAATGGAATATATATATAGCATGCACTTCGCATTGCATTCGTCGTCCACTTGAACCATATTGTGAAGTTACATATTTGCCTGTGCACTTTTCCACTTCCCCGGTATTGTCGTATTCATTTCAGTATTGTATCAAGTTGACAAAGGATTTATTTGTTTGATGTCTGCATAAATTTGATGCTAATTAAAATTGCTTGCGATCGTCTTTCGTAAATCAAAAGTCACCAAAAGATAGAAACAGAGTGAAAGAGAGAGAGAGAGAGAGAGAGAGAGAGAGGGAGAGGAAGATGGAGAGTGAGAGTAAGCGTTTACGTTTGTCACAATGAATGACAATAATTAAGTGGAAATCGGATAAAATATATATATTGAGTAGTCCTTTTCGTTTGCGCGCTTCCCTTTGTTCACGTATTATTAGCTGTGTGTTTTGTTGTTGTTTTTTAACTGCTTTGTTTTGATATCTTGTTGTATTTCTACAACGTTGGGAATTCAGCGGAGGAAAAGAACCGAACGAGAGAAGAAAAAAAAAGAGCGAAAGATTGAAACGAAACTGCATAGCGTCAGGTCGTGACGCGAAACTTGAAATTGCGGCTCATTGTGTTTGTATTGTGTGTGTATCATATAGTAAGGTTTTTTTCTTGCTAATAAATGTCATCATAAAAATTTGTTTCAATAATCATAAAAATATGTGGAATTGCCTCATTGAGCTGAGCCTTGCTGAGCCCAAATACTTAGGGCTTAACTGGAATAAATTTATAGATTCAAAGATATATAATTCCACACTCATAATTCGAATCGCATTGTATTGGCGTTGATGTCACCCCGGTTTTCACACATTGCATATACATCTATTTATATATATATGAATGTCCGAGAATGAAAACGCAACTTCTATTCACA